GCCGCACCCGTTGCTCCCCTCAGCAGTATACTTCGGTCCTTCTGCCTGCTCTGCTCCTCGCTCTGGCTCTGGTGAATTCTCTCACCCTCCCATACTTCTGACTGTACCCAGTGCTTGTATAAATAAATAAATAAACCTTAAAAAAAAAGAAAAGAAAAGAAAAGGAAAAAAAGACTTCCCTGAAACACTGGGGGGCATGGAGGCAGGGAGGAGGAACTCCACCATTAGCATCTCCCCTTGTTAGGAGGGAGAACAGGACCACACCTTACAACTCCATTGTTAAAAGGCAAATACTCGCTTAAATATATATTAAAAGCCCCCATTTCAAGTTTTCCCATTTTTCATGATATACTCTGCAGGGTATTCCTTTGAACTGCTGACAGCAACAGATACTTCCTAGCTTGTTCATTCATTGACTTTCTTGAAAGAGAGACATTGTCCCAGTTTGTGTGGGTCTGCAGGTCTCAGGGTATAGACACACCTCAGTGCTTGGTTCCAGACCACCACAGTAAAGAGAGTATGGCCATAAAGAGAATAACGTAATTTTTTTGGTTTTCCAGGTCATATAAAAGTAATGTTTAGGGCCTCCCTGGTGGCGCAAACGATTGAGCGCCACACTGTGAAGCTGTCCGCAGCTTTTGCAGCATGGATTCAATTAGCAGCCAGCCAGGGAGATTCCCACATGGCACGGCAGACCTCTCCTGTCTCGCCCGCTGCTCCCCTCAGCAGTGTACTTTGGCCCTTCTGCCTGATCTGTTCCCCATTCTGTCTCTGGTGAATCCTCTCACCCTCCCACACATCTGGCCTGTACCCTAGCTCTTGTATAAATAAATAAATCTTTAAAAAAAAAAATATCTTAAAAAAAAGTTATGTTTATGCTATACTGTAATCTATTAATGATTGCATTATGTCTTTAAATAAGGTACATGCCTTAATAGCATTGTCTTTTAAAAATCAATATATATGCTTAAAAAAAGAACATGCTTAAAAATCAATATACATGCTTAGAAAAACAACATACATGTTAAAAGGCACGACACTAGCCAACATAGAGCTTTTGGAAAAATGGTATCTATAGACTTACTCAACACATGGTTGCCACAAGCCTTCAATGTGTAAAAATGCATAAGTCTGCAAAGCACACACACAAAAAGATATGCCTGCACTTCGAGATAGAAGCAAAGATAGCCTTGTCAATTAGATTGTCTGGAGTCACGACTGGCCAGATCCAACTCTTGCTGTAGCACCGATCCTGACATGTATCCTCTCCAACATTCTAGTGGGAAATGAGCCATCTATTCACTTCATAGCTACTTTTTTTCTAAACCCCTACAAGACCAAGAGATGCTGTAGACAGTGGAAATACATAGTAAAGATGTTCATCTGCATATCTCATCTTGCTTTAGTCAGTATCTTGCAATGCTCACTGAGCAATCACTATGCTACAAACCATGCAGTTGCTAACAACACGTTCTGTACTTCAAGATGCTGATGCTCGTGAAAAGAACTTTGACTGTTAGGAGACCATCCAACCCTTACTCCTTGGAGTTGGTAGGGAGGGTGGTGCTGGCCCAGGAGGGAGAGCATGACCATCACTACTCTTTCCACTGCATTGTGCTTTGAGGCAGCAAGAACAACCTGGACCAGGTATCAAAGGGGCACTGGTTCCCTAGCCTCTGCTACTCTGCCTACAGCCAGAGGGATTACAGATCCCAACCTGCATTTTCTCCTCTCCATTCCATTGTTTCTATTATACCAGTTCAAGCAAATCTGAGCCAGACCTCCTAATAGCTTAGACTATCAAGGGAAATTGTCCTTAGGAAGTAGGCTGTGAAATGGACCAGTTAGCATCCTGGTCATTCAAGCCTATTGAGGACTGAGTAAGAAATATGAGTGAAGCATCCACATGGCTGGATGACAGAAGATGAGACTGGGGTGTCTACAAATAAATTTCATTCACTCATTCATTGATGCAATCATACACTCGACAATAATTTATTGGGCATCCCTACACTGCTCAGCGCTATCAAATCACAGGAGATATAATCTAAACAAGATGGACATAATCTTCAATACCTGACATTAAGCACACTGAGAAACAGGAAGGATCATTTAATGTGAACACATCACTCAGTAATGAGAATCACAGAAAGATTCAAAGAGAAGACTCCTAAAACTTGAAGGATGAAAGGAGTTAGACAGATGAAGGACTGGTGGGGGCAGAGCTGGAGAGGCCCACTGGCACACGGGCATGGAGGGGTATGAATCAGAATGCACCTGCAGGTGCAGTGTGTCATGGGGAAGGAGACTGGCCAGTCTTAGGCCATACCAGATGGTGCTCCTGAAGATTACTTTAAATGCCTAAGCATTAAGTTGAACACATGAAATCACCATTTTTCTAGGCCACAAATAATCTAATACCAGAAATTTGACATGGTACAACCTAGCAATTCCCTGAGTAATACTCCTTGGCCTACCCTTTTCAATTAGTGTCTCTCCAGAAAAGAAGACAGTGGCACTGGAAAAACATAAGGGATGAATATGAGCAGAGTAGGATGGGGGGCTGTGAAGGGTGGCACACAAGATCATGCAGGCCCTACAAGGACACGGGCCAGAGTAATATGTTTGGGCTTTCTCCTCAGACAACGGGGATGTGTAATGACCAAATTTGTAAGTTAATGCTCATTCAAGGTGACCTGCAGAACAGAGTGGAAAGAACAACAATAGTGACAAGGAAAACACAAAAAGCAGCTACTGGGAGCATCTAGTGAGAAAAGATGGACCGTACCAGCACAGTGACAGCAGGAGGGCTGGAGGATACAAAAGAGGCAGAAAGGGTGGGACTCAGGGTGAGGTAGGGGCAGGGGCTATGATCGGGTCCACCATTCTGCAGAGGCAGCCAGGAGCCAGGACATGACCATGTGGATGGAGGAGCGTCCATTGGGTTGGACACACAACAGGAAGATTTGTTGTGGAGGGAAGAGGATGAGTTCTTGGATGTTACTGTCCAATCAGTTCTGATGATAAGAAGAGTGAAGATAAGAAGTAGGAGGCAAAAGGAATGAATGTTGCTGACTCTGTAAGTGTTTATTACACAGTGTTTAATAAAATCCACACACTGACAGTGGAGGGTAGGTGCCCTTCCATCAGTTGTATAAGAAGCTGAAGGTGAGTGTTTACCTGATATTAGGTGGCTGACAGTGGTAGGGCTATCATTTTTTTTTTACTTATTTATTTTTTTAAAGATTTTATTTTATTTATTTATTTATTTATTCATACAAGCACTGGGTACAGTCAGAAGCGCGGGAGGGTGAGAGAATTCACCAGAGCCAGAGCGGGGAGCAGAGCAGGCAGAAGGACCGAAGTACTCTGCTGAGGGGAGCAGCGGGCAGCAGGAGAGGTCTGCGCACCATGTGGGACCCTCCTCTGGTGGCCAGGGAGCAGCCGGGGATCAAACCGGCTCTGCAGAGGCTGTGGGCAGCTTCGCAACCCAGCGCTCAACCGCTGCGCCACCAGGGAGGCCCCAAGGGCTAACATTTTAATGGGCATCTCTTTTTTCTTTTTTTTAAAGATTTATTTATGCATACAAGAACTGGGGTACAGGCCAGAGGTGCAGGGGGTAAGAGGATTCACCAGAGACAGAGTGGGGAACAGAACAGGCTGATCTACTGAAATACACTGCTGAGAAGAGCAGCGGGTGAGTCAGGAGAGGTCTGCTATGCCACGTGAATAGCTCCCAGAACAGGCAGGGGTTGAACTCATGCTAAAGTGACTGTAGATAGCTTCACAGCACTATGCTTAAGCCCTTGAGCCACCAGGGAGGCCCTTAATGGGCCTCTCTCTACCAATATCCAAGCTCTTGCTACTCCAACTGGCTCCCAGTAACCTAATGGAATGTATGATGTATGGGGTGTTTAAGGCTAAAAAACTCATAACCAGAGTCAAGAGGGATGTACCAGAAACCTATCTGGGAATACATGGGAGAGGAAGAGGGGGGACCCAGATCAAGACCCTGCTTGTAAGAAGGAGAGCCATTTCCTTGGAGGATACCTCTCACCCCACATTCTACCCACCCTCTCTGTCATAGTTCCTCTCTAAGTCTGGGGCATGGGAGGCACAGAAATATCAGTCAGTAGTGGAAAGAACTTGCTTTCCAATCATCAGGATAAATCCATATAGTACCTAGCTTGCTCTGCAGAGCAGAACTCAGCAAGGCAGCTGAATTTAACATCTCTTAAGGGAAAATCAGTATTTTAGCTGATGGCATTATCTTAGCAGACAAAGGTTTAAGGCATAGCCTATTTAAAGAGTTATTTAACAATTTCCAAAATAGTAGCAACCCAGTCTCCATAAAGCTAAATGAGTCCCAGGGAAGAAAGCACATATTACATTCTCGCACTTGTTTCTCTAATTAGGAACAGGCCCCGGTGGCTGGGATTTATTTTCATGAGTACACATCCACAAAACCCAGAAACATCTTGACATGCTGCAGCATCCCTAATGTTTCTCAAAACTGAATCCTAATTAGGTTAAAAAAAATGCAACCAGGAATTTTCACGCTGGTTTTGATTTGGGATTCAAAACAGAACCTAAGATGTGCATTTTTATATTGTTCCAAAACATGTATAAGCTGGGTCAAAATTCATAAGACCCCCTTCAGACATTACAAAGAACAGAAAAACAGAGCCAGGCATGATTCTGAATTTAGCAGACCAAAGAAGTTTCTTCTTCTTACAGAACATGAAGACTATTCTGTGATCTCCCCACACTTTTAAACATCTTAGTCTATTTACTTTTTTATAAGAGGAGAAAGGGCTGGGAGATGTTTGCATGGCACCTGCTTCTCCCGTTACAGGATTAAAAGACTCCTTTTCTGTGTTTTTCTTTGTTCATTTATTATATAAACTGGCCTGCCCTTTTCTTTGCTTTCACTAAACTCTGCTCTAATAAAGAATCTGCACAGGCCATGGAGTCTGTGGGGAAGAAATTATTGTCCTTACCTGTGCAGCTTATCCTCCAGCACTGCCATGTACTTCATTGTTTTCTCCTTCACACTTGTTTCTGCAAAACAAAAATCCTATGTTGATGGAATTATAGGCAAAGATTGAACAAAACCCAGAACTGCTCAACTCAAAGCCAAAACAAAAGAATTGAGGTTAAGCCTCTAGTAATGGTCACATCTGACATTTGGAAAATACTTAAATCCATTGGATGTGTTGCAGGGTCTAGGGCATCCCGGGTCTTTGCATGAGTTGAAGTGAGGGAGCAAAGGCATCACTGCTCTCCCTTTGCTTTCAAAGGCAGCTCACTCGATGTCAGCTGTGGACTCCCCTGTGCTCTGTGCCTCTCACCTTTCCCACCCAGTAGCCAAAAGCATGGCTGGACAGGAAAGAACACCAGAGAGAGATACAACTACCATCCTGTGGAGGAAACAGAGGACCCTCACCAGTGGTAGTTCTTCACAGAGAAATTTTAACAATGAAAGGAACTGTTTAAGTTGATCTCTTATCTTAGTCATTTATGCTCATCCACATATTAAGTTGTGCTAAGTTTATTCTCCAAATATTTTCATTGAATATTTATCTGTAGCACCTACTATGTGTCCAGACCCTGCTCTGGGGATCAAGCTGTGGAGACATGGTTCCCCAAAGCTAGATGTGCTACTGGCCCATCTACAAGCCCTGCTAATTCAGAATGTCCCAATCAGGAATGCTGTTTCACGTCCTACACATATTTGTGTACCACACACTGTCCTAAGCTGGTGGGATAAGCCAGTGGACAGAAGAGATAACAATTCCTATCTACGTAGTGCTTAATTCTGGTAGAGGTAGGTAATAAAGAATAAACATAAAAGTTACATAGTGTACTGGAAGGCGCTAAGTACTAGACAGAAAGAGAAGGCAATCAGAATGGGGTTGCAGAACGGCCTTGATGGGCATTTTTGAGAAGGTGACATTTGAGTAAAAGCTTGAGGAAGAAGGACCAAGCAGTCTGAGGGTCCTCAGCAGGAGGAAGTCTGCAAGCTCCACAGCATGTGGCTGGCGCAGAAGGGCCTTGGGGAGAAGAGGCAAAGGCAGAGAAAGAACCCAGGTCTAGTCATGTAGGCCACTGTGGTACACTGGATTTCCAAAACATGGCCTCGGTAATATTTCCAGTCCCACACACTCTTCTAGGACTTGACCATTCTCCACGAAGTGGTGAAATCTCTTTCCCTCCCTTTGAGTCTGAACGGGTTATGACCAACCCAACCAACTAACTATGTCAATATAGTTGGTATATAATGTCTGGGGCCAGGATCTAGCTTGTGCCCAGCGCTTTCTCCCAGGCACCCAGTCACTACATTGTAAAGAAGCGCAAGTCACAAGGAGGGGCCAGTTGTAGGTGTTCTGGTTGACAGTCAGAAGGTCTCAGCATATAGCCTGCATCTGCCACCAGATACGTAAGCTTTCAGATGATTTGGGCTTTCGGTCTGAGAGACCCAGACATCATAGAGACAAGCCATTTCCACTCTTTCTAAATCCTTCACTCTGAATTTGTGCACATAATAAATGGCTGTATTAAGTCATGAGTGCAGGAATGATCTGTTATACAGCTGTAGTAGCTGCAAGACCAATGCAGGGTTTTCAGTGTTCTGGGCAAAACAGAAAACACTGCAGAAAAGGGACAACACATTGGCTTATGGTTGCTGTGTTGAAAAGAGATTACAGGAGAGGAGAGAAGCAGAGAGACAGGGACAATGAGGACAAGGTACTTTGGAAAGTGAGTACTTTCCATCCAAAGGATAAGAAATGCCTAGCACCTCCCTTGAGAAAAAGAAAGCCACATTCTTATATTTATCCAGAATAATCCAGATGTATACCATTGTAATTATTTTTTTAAAAAACTGAATGCTAAATACTTGACTCATCTAAGCACCTGAACTCCAGCTCATGACATGTAGGAACTGCCCAGGAACAGCTTGGCAGTTCCACATTTTTCCACCTGTCTGAGGCTACATAGGAGGATGCTATGCTGAAAAATCACCTTCCCTGGACCCAGATCCCAGCCAGACAGCCCAAAAGTGCCAGGTTGGACTAAATGTTCAAGAGAGGCCGGGGAGTTTAGGTTTTCACTTCTTAAATAATATGCCCACAGACACACTGATTGACAAAGAGTGTTCTTTGCTTCTCTTCTCACCCTCCCTCCTCTTTCTTCCTTTTCCCACAATCTTAGGTTCAATAGAGCAGAGATGGAGAAGATATTTGGTAATGGTGAGCCAAGGTGCTGGGAAGCAAGGAAAGAAAAAAAGAAGACCGGGGTCACCAGGGGTCCTGATTTAGAAAAAGCAGAAAACGCCTCTTTCTCCCCATTTGATAAGGGAATCTGATATCCACATATAAGCCATAATATCAGAATGGAAGTCATAGAATCTGTTTTATGAATCCAATTAAGCAGAAACTGATTGATAATTAAATGAGATAAATCTGTGAACACATTTAGCAGAGTGCTTGGCACAAACACAAATCAGTGTCACAGCAATGAAACCTGATTCCTGCTTCACAGAAGGCACTGTATGGGCATTATTAAAGTATAAAGAAGATGTGGCAGGGCCTCCCTGGTGGCCAAGGGGTTAAGACTCAGTGTGATCACCATGATGGCCTGAGTTCAATCCCTGGTCAGGGAGCTGACCCACATGTGGCGCAGCAGACCTCTCCTGTCTTGCCTGCTACTCCCCTTAGCAGCATATTTCTGTAGCTCCGCCTGTTCTGCTCCCCACTCTGTCTCTGATGAATCCTCTCATCCCCCACACCCTGGCCTATACCCCCAGATCTTATATGCATAAATAAATAAAAATAAATCTTTTAAAATAAATAAGTAAATAATAAAGACGTGGCTTCAGTGATAGCTGTAGGGGCAGACTCTCACAGTGATTACTCACTGTGAATACAGTGAGTGCAGAGAAATATTTTCCCAAAACTTTCATTATAACTAATAATCCAAAAATATCCCAATCGGTCAAATGCAAAATAATGACCAAGTTATCCAGCAATATCCTTTTCAGCATAAACAAGGAAGTTAGGAGAATGTTAAGTGGAAGCAAGTCTAACTAGGTTTCACTGCATTATATCTTTTGTTTGCATAATAAAAGATAGCAGTATTTATCAGGATAATAGTACAGGAAATGAGTAATACCCAGGCTGACTTACTATCAGATTGAAGACAGCAGTGACTCCAGGAACTTCTGCCCCACCACTCTCAATGAATAAGGAGGGCATTATCAGATCAATACATAATCTCAAATTTGAAAATGGAAGCCAAAGGGAATTTCATCAGTTTAGAATTAATCACAAATTTTATCTGGCATTAGTTCTTTTATTGGAATTTTCTAAAATAACATATCTATCAAGTGAGGTCTGACCTTGTTCTACAAAAATAAGTCATCAGATTTCAAAGATCCATTATTATTCAAGAATTGATTCAGATAAGACTGAGTCTACTCCCATTAGTAAAAAATCTTCCAGAAGTAAAATATGAAAGACAGAGAGAAATTTTAGGATTCTGAGACTCTAAAGTATTACTCTTCCTTTCATGAAGGAACTTCTGCTTATTTTGGTAACTAAACCCTTGTGGAGATGAAGTGGTCACACAATCTGTATAGTAAGCCAGAACAATAAAAACAAACATTGGATGTTTACTTAACAGTATTATTTGACAACAGTAAAACACTTTCAAAAAACTAGTGGACATCCACAAATATCCCAAGGGCTCCAAGGATAAGGAGGGGGAGGGAAAGAGAGAGGGACACAAGCGGGTGGTGAGAAAAAAAAAACAACATTGCAAGTAGATAACTGAAATAAAACAAAAACAAAAGCTTTTTTAAAAAGATGATTTAGGACTTGAAAACTGACAGAATCCTTTATCTGAAGTACTACAGATATCAAATTTTATAATGAAGGGCAAGATGGAAATACAATGCCTGAGTGCATCCCCACCTGTACCAAAGTGACCTTGACCACCATATGGGAAACCCAGTATGTAGAAATGCATGGTATGAAGATAATGGTATCAATTTAGGTAGCATTTTATTAAGCACTTTCTATGAGCTGGTACTGTCTTCAACACCTTGTTCTAAATGTTCACAAATAGAATCTATGAAGCAAGTTCTATTATCATCCCCATTTCATAGATGGTGAACAGAGGGCAGCAAAGGTCAGTTATATAACTAGGACGTCTCCAGAGCCTACAGCTTCAGAACACATGGCTCAGTTTTAAATACCATAAGAGGAGCTCAAAAAAAGCACATCAAGAAAATGCCTTTGGGATTTCTGCCACCAATAAAATGAAGCGGGTGTTCAAAAGACAGAGTAATTTCAGCAGAGGCCAAAGATTGTACAAAATAAAAGTCAAAGTTACAAAAAGAACTAGCAATGGCAAAAAAAAAAAAACCCAAAAAACAAAAAACCCATCAACAAATGAAAACGTAATTGTATACAAACTACAGACTACAGGGAAGAATGTTAGTAAGATATCAGCATAAAATAATTTACCATTGTGGAATATATATGTGACACATATATATAAAGGGCATAGGTCAGGTGATTTCAAAGTAAGTCATAATGAAAAAAACATGATTTATAATATTCTAGGATTTATATTGACATTAAGCCACTCTTCCCAATGATAACATGTCAAAATCATGTGGTTTTTACAAATAGATTTGAATTTGCATCTATACATTTGCTTCTATTTCTACTACCACTTTGTAGGGTGGTCATTTAGACAGAACCCTCTAGAGAGTGTTCCTGAGTTTTAAAAAAGTTGCCTCCTTTCTAGGCTTTAGACTAGTCAATGTAAATTCTCTAAGGTTGGAAACAAAGAAATGCATCATCACTAAATTAGCAATTGATTCACATCTCATTTGTGGGCTATCATTTAGTGCATTGTTCAATCTCTCTCCTTTCTTCTCATGTTGAGATTTGCAAAGAGAAGAAAAATGGTCAGGTAGGTCCTAAAGAATGAATAAGCAGTAACAGAGAGCAGGTAGGTTCCTCTTTGGGATTGTGACTGACATTCTGATATCC